TGGATATTGCGAAACATGTGATAAAACATTTGGAAAGACGTAAAGTTCCAAACATCATTTGAAGCAGTGCTCGACAATAATTAACAAGAACCCCACTCCATCAATACATGGCACGAGTATTGCTCTCCATAAAGAAAATTGATCTTTGTCCTGAGCAAGGTGATGAGATGCTAAGGGTCATCCCTTAGGCCTTAACAAGGATGTCAACATGCACAAAGACGTCCGAGAAACAAATATCTTTCTTGAAGAAAACAAAGAATCTTCGACGCAAAGAGTCTCAAGGTTAACGGAATCGCAAATTCTCGATGACTTGGTCGGGATTACCAAAATGGAGTACACAGACCCCGAAAAACACCCACACAAAACCCTCGAACAATTCCCCCGGTTTGGAGGCACAAGATGGACATGTAACAGCAATCAATTGCAATTAGATGCAGGTAAGTATGAACCCGTGTTAGAGTAGGTTAGTTCTGCCAACGTATCCCAAAAAACCGTCCATCACAAGATCGGAGCGTACTCCCATGAGAAAATAACATGCTGCTGTCACTTTACCAACCTAACCGATTCTTACTAACAAGAGTAAACTCATTGCAAAAATCAGGCAAACCATGGACTGTACACGCTCTGGCCCTAAACGACTATACCATATAATCCGCTAACGATCGGAGAATGAGCTAGTTCAAAAAGACCCAGACCACATACAAACGCAAACAATCACCCACTGCGTATTTTGAAACGTAACTTACACGCTAACCTGAAATCCTATCACCTCGCAATTCTATCAACGTTCCTCCCATCTCATGAAACCGCAGCACAAGATTGCGTAAAACTGCCGTCACACTTGAGGCTACTCTTCTATTAACCAACCTTGCGTCCACCCACAATCCTCACCAAAACCCTTCATATAAATAAATAAATAAAACCCACGATTCCACTCAAACTCCTCACGCACGTTCCCTCGATAATCTTCCACTTCCACAGCAAGAAATCCCCACAAAAAAATCATTCCTAAAACCAATTCACAAAACCACTCAAACAAACGCCCCACGAAAACACTACAGAATAGCGAGAGGGCTTACCTTCAACTCCACAACGGAACGATCTCAGTTCGCCCGTCAAAACCTCCACCTCTGCGCCAATTACAAACCCCGAGACCGAATGACGAAAAAAATTACACAAACGGGGACAAATCAACAAAAGTTCAGCCTCGGATGCGGCTCCCTCCCTCCCTTCCCTCCCTCCCTTCCCTCCCTCCCTCTGCGTCTCTCCCCTCACACCAGTGGTGCTCGGATACAGAAACGGAGCAAAGCCAATGGCAATCTGAATAACAACAACCAGATAGATGCCGAACTCGCAACGAAACTTGCACTACTAAGGCTGCCGCTCACAACGACCTCCGTCCGGATTGCGAGAATCATACAACAACAATACATACGACGATGATGCGAGAACTGAAACCGAAGAGCTCACAACCTGTGCAGCGAGTGAGTGAGTGAGTGAGTGAGGAAGTGCCGAATGCTGCCTGCCGCCAGGAGCGCGGGCCGGGCCAATCCCCGCTTGAATCGACTCCAGCAGACCCGACCCCACCCAACCCGTCCTGCCACGGAGCTGGTCGGTGGCCCGTTCCATTGGGAGCGTCGGAGGGCGGTTTGGGGCACCGTTCCCAATGAGTAACTATGATACTGACGTGGAATGTGACGTCTACCTGGCATCCCCTCGAGGCGCCAGATGGACTTTTTTTTTCTTTCTTTTTTTTGTTCTCCCGCCATCCACGTCGGATCTTGGGTGAATGTAGATATACAAGGGGGTTGTTGCTCCAGCCCTGTCTGTCTGTCAATCTATCTATCTATCGTATGTGTTATGAAGTATGTGATGAAGTAAATATGTGCTATAATTAAAACTGCCTGTCCACGTTGAATTTGGCCTTGGACATGTCATTTTTCGAGTTATAACTTAATTACAACTATGTGTATGTGTCATCCATGCCTAAATTTTTGTTTTTTGTTTTTTGTTTTTCAAAAAAGTCAAAACTTCGTTTGTTTAAGAAAAATGAATGATCTTTTGACTTTTGAACTTAGGTTTTACATTGTATTTTTTGATTAATTAATTAATTTTCTATGAAAATTTTACATGTATGCACATACATGATATTTCGAAGTGAAATCCAAGTTAATGAGATTTTCGTAAAATTGGAAATTACTATCATTTTTATGCCTCTCATTCACATAATATTATTTTGTGCAATTTTTTAAACAGTTTTATGAAAGGATTCCTAACTAGATAACATAACGATTACAATGAGTTTTTATAGGATAAGATAAAACAAAAAGTGGATGTATGAAATCTCTTTGTAGATAAGCAAAAGGCAAGATGGCTAATTTATTTTAGAAAGAATATCTGTTTGTCAATATAATTCCAACTTGAAAAATCCTTCTTCAAATGTGCGCAAAATGGACTATTTAGTTGATGTTAGCCAAATTTTGTAGTTTTTGCCTTTTGCATATACTTTTTATTATAATATTTAAAGCTATTTTTTACAAGAAAAGAGATTCTTCATTTTAATAACTAGCTTTTGAATCGTTCTTCCATGCCTTTTGTAGTGTCTTGAAATATGGTTAGTTCAAAAAGCAATAATACTAAAAGGTTTAAACCCATACAAAATCATTTTACAACTTCAATATAAAATTATTGGATGTGAAGTTAACTTCAAAATGTATTATTAAATATGATTCATTTATTTTAGGTTTAATTTTCAGAAAATATGATTTTATTTCAAATTCTAGTTTAATTTATATTGGTTAATAGCTAACTGGAATAATAGACATAAGATTTTATAAAATATGAACTCTTCTTGTTTTGTATTTTATTTTAATTAGTTTCAATAATTCAAATAAAATTTAGTAGTAAAAGTTTTTGTTTCCTTTAGAATGTCATGTGGTATGGCATTACATGCCAAATTCCATCAAATGTATGTAATTTAGTTTGATTAGTGGTTTTTCATACATTGATAGTTTTTTCATTAATTGAATTTATTCATGTCGATTAAGTTTTGAATACTTAAGTGGAGAAAAACCCTTGACTTGACATTTTTGTCAAGTCAAGTTTGTGAGTAATTTTGAGAGTGATAGAACTTATTTTAAGGATTTGTTTGTTTTAGTTTTTTTAGTAAAATTTTAGGATTTCTCTTATTTTTACACTTACACTCTTAGATTCTTGTTTTGTGGTGTGAAAGATAGCTTGACTTAGTTTGGTGTAGATTTCTAATCTTTACTTGATAAGAATCTCTCATTCTCTTAAATTTGTGGTATAATAAATTAAAATGAAGTAGATCAAAAATAAAATAAAAAATTAAAATAAAAAATTATAATTTGGATTTTATTTTTGCAGCTAGGTTTTAAGCATTATTGGGCGCCAAAACTAGTTGGATTATTATTGTAGTACTATGTTGGAATACATTGTGGTATTAGAATGGAATATAATAGTGCTAGGTATTGGATATGGTATCGTCACAAGTACTTTGTGGTTTGTGGTATTGGAGCTGCTGAGGCAGTACAAGAGCTATGGTATAAAGCAAAGTTAGGATATAGTGTTGTGAAAGTACAAGATTGTAATACTAAATTGTACAAGGTGTAATTTCATTGCAAGACAAAGATGAATTGTGGTGTTAGAGTGTAGCCACAAATTTCTAGACATAGATAAGATGGCTAATGCGAGTTACTAAGTTTGATCATAAAGAACAACATATGCAAAAATGGAGCAAGGCAAGCACAACTTTGGTATGAGCTAGTTGCAAAATCTTACAACATTGCAACACTTCAAGGTGGTACAACATCGGTTTATAATTTTATCTTTATTGTCTTCTATTGTATTGTACAATGGGTGGTGCAATAAAGTGATTTGGTGTAGCCAAAGTTGGCTCAAAATTGCAACATTGTTGTGATTTTTGTTTTGTTACAAAATTTTATGCAAAAAAATTAAATCAGTGGTGGTGAGGGGTGGCTTGCAATATTTTCTTACCACTCAAAGCATCAATATATGGTAATAGGATATTTGATAACAAAATATACAATAATAGGATACACAATAATAAGACTCATTTGAGGTAATAAGACCTCGATTCATAGGATTCCATAGTCATAGACCTCATTGCATAGTTATAAGGTATTAAAAAAATATCCAAAACTCTTAAATGTGAAGTTTAGAAGTTCATTCTAAATGTATAAGGAGTCTAAATTTGATTATTTTTGAATCAATTTTATGTGGAAGAAATCTTAAGAGTCTATTGGCATGCTAAATTTTCGGAGTGGAAGTCATTTGGAGCATTGAAGCGATATTTACTAAATGTTAATTACTTTCTACGTGAGTTTTTGATTTTCACTCACTTTTCTATACTTCATTTTATTGCAATTGTCTTATATTGTGACAAGTTCTATAATTTGTAACCATCAATTGTAAGTGGATGCCAATTGCTCTAATTTACTTTTGATTTTTGCTAATGAATTATTGAAGATGAGGATCTAGTGTGGAATTTTGGATTTTATTTTTGATATCTTCTCTTAGTTGCAAGTATTATTCTGGTAGGTTTTTAATAGTTATTCTATTTTGTATTTATACTATTTTGTATTGATAGGCATATTATAGGGATGATGTAATGTTAGTTGCTAAAAAAGTCCTTCTATTTGTAGATATATTAGACTTGTAGTGATCCAGATGTGATTACTGATGAAGTGTAAAGCTTGGTGGTTTTATAGTCACATTTTGCCTTTTTAGCCTTTAGATAGTTGTAAGTATCTAAATAATTCCTTTAATGGTACATTCTAGAAGTCTATATTTTTTAAATTTTTTCACTAGATTATTGGATACTGACTACATCAAGGATTTTGAACCAATAGTAGATACTAATAAGGCTTTTTAGCTTGTTTTAGTATTGGATACTACTTGGAAGCTTTGGGTCCCAAGAATTGAAATATTTTCTAAGATGGAAGACAATCCTCTGAATATGGTGAAAGATAGATTCTCAAGAAGAATTGGAGGCATTTCTTTGTAAAATTGGAGATTTAGATTTCAAAGATGGATGAAAGAGAAGTGTGAAAGGTCTTTGACTTTTAATGAGTGGTATGCCTTTGAACTTTTATCACAATATGTGGAACATGAGGCATTCTAAATTTATAGAAAATGGAGTAAAGAGTACTCACTTGAGTTGACTCAAGTGAAGCATTGTTAAGAGGCATGTATAGAGCTTATTTCAACTCTTAAAAAGAGTGTTATGTCAAGCTCCAATCCAAAGAAAAGTTGCATGTGGTGAAGAAAAAAGATCTAATCCAAAGAAAAGTTGGTACATCTTCAGAAGATATCAAAGGAAAAAGAGTAGCTACAATGATTCAAAAAACTATTTCAATATTGACATATGTTGGAAAGAATGGTGTAACATAGATGAATTGTACTAAATAATAATACGTGATTCATATAGCAAATAAAGTACTCTTTTATAGCTACCAAATGAGCTTGAGTTGAAAAGAATCCATTAGGTGATTGCAAAGCTATGACCAATCTAATTTGAAGTAGTATTGAAACAATTTTTGAGTGTGGTGTCTAATTTTTGGATTCTATTAATTATTTAATATTACAACATTCTATCATCATAAAATTTACTATGATAATATTATTACTAATCTAATGACATCATTAATGCTTATTAGTAGCTATAAAAGTACCATTTTTAATCACAATTCTTAGCAAGGATATATTCCAAATTACCACATTTTAGGATCTTTTAGATTCTTTTATAATTTTTTTTGAATCTTTTAGATACTTATAGAAACTTCTACAATCTTTTAGAAAGTTCTATAGGCTTTTAGAAGTCTAAAGATGCTTCTAGAAACTTCTATAGAAAGTACCATAGACTTTTGTAACTTTCATTATAGTATAAATAAGAGTCTTTGGAACCACTTTTGCTATCATTTTCATTCTTTGTCTTCAATCTTAACATATTTTTTTGTCAAATTTTTGTATCCTTGACAATTCTTTGAACAATTATGAGATCCATTCCTTGCTCTTCTTTATTTTTAAAAATCTTATGGCCAAATTGCTTCTGAACTTGGTTGCTATAAAGTTACTATCTCTAAGTCAGCAAAAAAGTTCAATTTTAATACGAAGAACCTTAAATTAGGTAGACCAAAGAAACTCATTGTAGTAGATAAAAAGATAATCATTTGCCAAAACAACACTAGGAAGGCTTAAAATATTATTGAGGTTGCTAAAAACCTTAAAAATATTATCAGTAATCTTGTGTCAATCCAAGTCATTTGAAATGTTCTAAAAAAATGGAATATAAAAGCCTTAATGTAAAAAAAAAAAAAAAAAAAAAAAAAAAAAAAAAAAAAATCACTACTATCTATTCACAATTAAAAATAATATTTGGATTTTTCTCTGAAGTAAAAAGAATGCACTATGGAAGATTGAAAGAGAGTTATTTGGTCAGATGAGTCAGAAATCAACAAATTTGGGTTAGATAGCAGAA